CAAATATATTACTAAAAAAGTCAGAAAGAGTACAAAGGCGATGTCAACTGACACCAAATAACCAGATAACAGGACCTACCTTTTTGAACTTCCAGAGGAATCCAAGAGGTACAATTCCAACAAGGAGGCAACCGCAAACCCAAAACGAAATTCCACAAAGGGAAAGAAAACTCCACGAAGGAGATAAACCAGACAAGCTGGACTAACATACAAAAAGCATAAAGAAAAAAACACACACCTAATGTACAAATAAACTAGAACCTACACTACACCTAACAGACTCGATGCCCAACCACCCGGGACCACACATGATCCACATCCACTAGCAAAGAGATCCAACAAACCACAAACCGGAACCTCAAGCCCGAAAACTAGGCCACTCGTGCCGCCTAGATGGATCTGAAGAAGAGACGCTCTCGGTTCAGATCTGGACTTCGAACCATCCACGGTGGGGGATGAGAGGGAACCGCCATGAAGACACCAACACGGCTCACCGGAGTGCTCGAAAGAGGGATCGAACGGACGGCAAGCCGCACCAAAGGACCCAAAACATGAACAACAAGACTCCCGGCGGAACAATGGTCGGTACCTCCTTGAGGCCTGGGCCTGAACTCTTGTTGCTGGCGGTCTCGTCCATGGCCGGGGGATGGCTAGGTGGCGAAGCAACTCGGACCCGACGAGCTCCAATTCCAGCGGCGCGGCGGCGAGCCTGAAGGTGAGGGAGGGGCGACGAAATTGAAGATGCCGATTGGTTTTTTCGATTGAGGAGAGAAGAAAAGGGGGGCGCGTTCCCTCACGCGTATGAGTTTTTTTGGGAGAGATCCCCTTGATTTTTTTTTTAACTAAATTGTATGATTGATTTGCATGATAAGAAAATCAACTTATACAATGAATTTTGCAATTTCATATTAATCATTTGTTCAAAATGCAATTTTATGCTAAAAAATGTAGATAAATGTTCTCAACTAACACTAAAATGGACCAAAATACATGTAGAGTATGTATTTTGACTGTAATATTAAGAACTAGTCTATCTAAATGTATTTTGATTGTAGTATAGAGAAATATATATATTTTGACTGTAGTAAAACTAGTTGATAAGTTAGCTTATAGTTTATCAGTAATTTTTTAGCTTATAGCTTATAGCTTATGATTTATAACTGTAAAGTTAACTTATATGATAAAAGTGTTGGTAAAATTAGCTGATAAGCTAGCTGAAATAAAAATTTCAACGAGGCTTGAGCTTTTTCATACCAAACGGAGCTTATCTATACTATTATAAAAGTGTCAATGAATCTGTAAAAATATGATAGCCTAAAATAACCTTATTTCGTTATCTTTTTAATGGCAATTCTATAATTTAATAATACCCAAGGTAATGGCATACCTATAAATTAAACACGTCCTCGGTTAATGCATAATATACTCATTTGTACATCTAATTCTAGGGTCATGTGAATTGTGGTTTGCAATAATACCCAGTTAGGTTTACCTAATGATATATTTTTAGCTACATACATTAATAACTATGATTATATATTTATATTGGAATACTATAACCTGATGAGATACTACTGGAAGTCATAATAGTAAATTTTTAGAACCATATGATAATTATAGATACCCATAAAATATATTGATTTGTTTCTTTTATATTTTGCAATTCTAAATGTATAAATTTTTGCAATTCTTAATGCAAGTCTATGTTTTTAGAGATCTTTTTGTGTTTGATAAATATTTTTACTCTTCAAAAGTAAATATTTTTTGTTCACTCTTTTTTTGTTGGTGTAAAAAATAATTCTCATTTTTACTTCGACACGTGTTTTAAGAATATGAATAATTTCTAAAACTTCGAAATTTGATAAAAAAAAAAATTATTAATAATTTAAAATTTTCTATTTATTTATTTATTAAAAAATGATTAATGCAATAGTTATAATGTTATTTTGTAATTAAATTATTTAAAAAAAGTAATATTGGATAATAGATCAATTATATACAATAGAATAATTAATTATAAAAAAATTTCAACTAAGAGATGTGATTTGTGTGTGAAACTAATAAAGGTCGTGAAAAAATATAAAAATGAGTTAACGAAATTAATATAGATACCCTGACATGTGTTTCTACTTTTATTAAATTTTTATATTTATAATAAAATACAGTATAATATTAAAATTAATTGTTAGGCAGACCTTACGATTAAATGTTCATACATTTCCCAAAGGTATACTACGCTCATATTGAATTGTTATACTTTAAAAAACAACATAAATAGAAGTTTAAGGTTTTATTGCATATGTATATAATTTTATTAAGAAAAAGTATGCATGGTCGATCTGCCTAATGACTATTCCGTCTCATACAAAAATTTATGTGAACTAATATTTAAACTTAATAATTATTAATCAATAGATTTTATGATAAATTATCAAGTAAATAAAATTATATCTAACCTAAGATATCATATGATATATAAATACACCTTGAATGAATTAAAAATTATGTTTAGTAAAAAATGTTAGACGAAAAATTGACCAAGTTTATATGTATATATATGTTTGATTCGACAGAGTTTATAATATTATGGTTCATCTACATCACGCATTTGAGGAAATTTAAAGGTTTTATAGTTATAAACTTAAGAATATGCATTTTATGTGGTTTACTACACATTAATTGGTTGATATTTACACAATTTATTCAATCGCAATTATTTTAGCATTAGATGTGACCTGAAGGCTAAAAACTGAAGCTAATTATAGATAATATGAATCTTTAATTTAAATTAATTTATTTCTTAAGTAAAAAATAAAATATAATTTCCCAAAAAATAGTTTATAATATTTATAGATTATCTTTTAAAATTATTGTAATCTAAATTAGATTGTGTACCATGTAATGGTTCATTAAAAATATAATAGTATTTGAGTGAAAAAAAATAAAATAAAATTCGACCAAAATTGAAATTTTAATATATATTTATAATTCTTCTTCCTTGTCTATAAAAATCCAAATTTTGATGCCTAATACCCCAAAAATAGTCCGAACTTCATGAAATTAATTATAATTAATTAGATCAAGTTAAAAAGAAGCATATGAAAACTATTTTATTGGAAAAGGGAAGATAATATGAATAATATTAAAAAACTTTGCAAACATATGTCAATTGAGTTATAACTATTTTATTTAGTCAATAACAATAAGGACAAAGAATGGTCTCCTTTAACAAGATAAAAAGACAAAACTGTAAACTATCAAATGCAATTATTTAAGTAAAAAAATTTAATTTAGTTTTACTGTGTAAATTTTTCAATCTTCTCCAAACAAAAAAGATTTCGAATAAACAAGACTAACTTAGATAATGAAGGTTTCACCATGCAATCTTTTCACCATGACTTTTAAATATTATTATTTTGAAAATCGTATTTCAACTTTCATTACATTTGACACTGTCTATTATGTAATGTGCTTCTTGTGTTTGATTAATTGAAAATAATAATGCAAAAAATTGTATAGACCATAAAAATATAAAAGCGAAAATATAATTTAAAATCACATTAAAATATAAATTATGTATCACGTACATCGCACGTGCACTTTACTAGTTTGAAAAAAGGGAGCTTATAAGGTAACCAAATAAACTATAAGCTAGCATATTTGTCTCCCAAACATAACCAACCTAAGATTTAAATGAATCCAATACGTGGAATGTTGAAAATGAATAAAAAAACATCGGGGGTGTGGTATAATTGGATAATTACAATTAAAGTTGATGAACTAAATGGTTCACTCATAAATTCATTTTGTAAACGAATTTAAGCTTGACTCTTTCTCGCATGATAAACAAACCAAACTCCATTTTTTCCAATGCTTACTTAATTATTGAATATTTAAAGCTCGAGAATTGTTATCTCACTTTTGTTCTATAAATCTTGAGCCAAAGTTAAGTAGGCCAAAGGTCGACTGGTCTACACCTTTCAGAAATGTAAATAGTGTTGTTAAAAGTAAACGAGTGTGATTGGGCTCGAGCTCGACTTGTTAATACTCGAGTTCGAGGCCTGAATAAGCGAAACTCAATTTATGAGTCGTTTATTTAACAAGTCGAGCTTGAATTAGAGTACCATAAACTCGAGCTCAGCTCAACTCATTTATAGACTTAATTGTAAATTAGTCAAGCTAAATTCGAGCATCATCTCATGTCCTAAACTAGACGAGTGAGGTCGAGTCAGCCCAAGTTCAACCAGATAAATTATATAAATTCATTATTTTACCATTAGTTAAGTTAACGAGCTTTCACTGAGTTGAATAATTGACTTGCCCACACACACTCGGATTCCATTGCTGGCACCGCAGACCGCCACCGAGATGTCAGACTCCACCACCACGGAACAGCAACCGGCAGCATCGCCGTTTACCCCGACATTCGCCGCCGCGGCCTGCCACCTGTATCCCCGCCGCGAGCCATTCGATCATGGACTTCTCCCCATCCCCAAACTCATCTTCACTGATGGCGCGCAGACTCTGTCTCAGCTCAAATCCTCCCTCCTCTTATCCAGTTCAGCGGAGCGAGTCGACATGGACACACTGGCCCAAGCCCTCCAAATCCCCGTCGAACACGTGCGGCTTCTGATAGAGACGATTTCATCCGTTTTGCGCGACGAGTTCGATCCACTTGTGAAAGCTGCTAAATCGACGGATGGGGTCGATAAAATTGGTGTACATATTTATGATTTGCTTATGTTTCTGTACATACAGAGTTATAAGAGGTTGCTGCCTAAAGGGCATAGGGATTCTGCAGCCGTGGCTGATGTTTGGCCATCTACGTTGGCTTTCGATGGGTTTTTTTATCTGCTCTTTCGCCGTTGCTGGTGGTTGATACTGCTATTTAATTTGTTATTGTTATTTTGAGTCATCGAAAGAATTTGTCACTTGATTCGAATTGCTTTATAGAGTAGTGATTGCAATCCAGTTAAACATTTATGGGCTAATTCATTTTCTTTCATAAATGTTTGGTGGCATGTTGTGTGACTTATATAGCTTATAATGCTTCTACTACTTAGATTGGGGAAGCGTGGATGGTTTTCCTTGCGAGTCTAATAGTCTTATATGGTTTATCAGCATGTTTGCTTGCATTTGGTTCTGGGGATGGTTATACTACTCTAGGAAATCCCTCTCTGCCATATCAACTTCAGCTCCCTGTATGAGCCTGATCGGCCTTCACGCCTTTTGGGCTCACAGGCTGAGCTCTATCTGGGAGCTGAAGTTAGTATATCCCTAGTTGCTTTAGCTACGTTAGTATGATAATGTTTTCTAATTTTCCTATTTTGATAACGACTGTAGTCATATTTGTAAGTATAGTTATGCAGTTGCAGTTTTTCTCTAGTGCTTCCAATCCGGGAGATAGGTGTGCGGTTGGATGCAATTTCATTTGGTTGGAGAATAGTAATGAAATATTTTCCGAGGAGAAAATAATAAACTCTAAGGATGTGAATGCACATGAGATGACAATGTAATATTACAGAATATTGCAATATAAAAAAAATAAATAATGATTTGATATCACTGATAGTTGGAAATTTTGAGTGGCAGGAGGATAGCAATAATCATGGAAAGATGTATAATGATGGTTGTGAGTCACTGAGTTGATGTTTATAGTAGAAAGTTTATTGAGATGATCAGTGAAAGAAAAAATTGAGAGGAGTTATTGCAGTAAATTTTTTGACAATGTCCAAAACAAATATTATTTTAGGAGGAAAATCTTGTTTATGTTTATAGAAGAAGGTTTTGATAGAATATATCCATTTGCTCCCATGCAATTTGCATTGCTAACAAGCAGTTTCTATTCTCGCAGTTGGTACGAAGTAACAGTCGTAAGTTTATGCCATCACAAGCTGACGAAGAGGCTCATCAGCTGTCCTATTTGCAGAAGCACATCGGAAATATTATTTCTCTCTTGGCGGAGAGAAGGTGGCGACTCTCTGGGATGTAGGTTACGCTCAAAAGTTAATTAGACAAGAAAGGTGCATGCTTCTTACTGGGGAACGAACATTGCTAGGTGTCTGTAGGTGTCATATTCTAAGTTTCTCTTTCCTTTTTTTTGTGCTTCTTTCAGGTTTTTAATTTTTCTTTTGATATGTGAGTCCAGAGTTTCTCTTCTTGTCAGGTTTTATCCTTGGATAAATTTGAGCATCTCGGATTTCTGCTTTATTTTGGAGAAAAGGGATCCATTAGAATCCCTTTTGAGCCAGAGTACTCAACTTTTCGCAAATTCGGACCCAGTTCAGACATGCCTGCTGCTCCTGTTCCTGCATCACAAGTTCTTGACTGGCTTCTCCAAATTATAGCATCTACCCTGGAATTTATTGCTGATAGGGTTTCACCAAAAGATAATATACCAAGTAGTTCTTCTGATGAAGATGTTCAGAGGTCTGATGCTGGCACAAGTCCATCGAAACCCTCAAGCAGTTCCAGAGGTCCAAGTTTCATTGATGGATTCTCTAAATCGTCGTGTGTGAAACAAGCATCTGATCTTAAAGTACATCTGCAAAGGTATGTTTTTTTGCCGGTCACATGTCCCCCTCCCATTTATTTTTTCCCTTTGGTTGTCTTGGACAACCAATACTATCCCTGTGATAATTGATTTTCTGACAACTGGGCACGTAACACTTCGGAGAAGTTATAAATTTTGTTCCGATTGTAATACGTGACTATAAGCTGAGATGAACTACACATTTCAATACATCCATCTGGAAGTTAAAATGAACAATTTGTTACTTAGCATGAGATGGGGTGTGGAGAGCAACATCTGTTTTTCTGCCTATTCCATTTATTTTTACCACCAGTTGATTTCTATTTTGATTGAAAGTAGCTCAAAACCTTAATCTCTGCTTCCTTTATTTGTCTGTCAGGTCGTAAATTGCCACGAATCTGTAATTTACATTTTGGCGCCACTGAAATATGCAAGTCTATGGATGCTCTGATGCAACCATTGTCATTGGTGCTGTTGGCAAGGTAGCTTTGTTTGTCAAAGTTAAACACACGGTTCTCTTTCTGAGTGTGTTGATGCATATAAGTACGATTACTATGGTTATAGCACTATCACGAACTCGACACGTGCATTTTTGTTACGAAATACTACACAACTTGATTTCTGTATTACCTAGATAAAATTAGAACCTCCAAATCCCTAAATAACCGTTTTAACAGGCCATTAGTGTTGAGCATTGTGAACGTGTTCATCTAATTACTGAAACAGGCCATTAGGGTTGAGCGTTGTGAACGTGTTCATCTAATTACTGCAGTAAGACGTATCTGCATTGCTAGCTGTCGTGAATGTGTCTTCTTCCTAGGGGTCAACCAACGACACCTTATTGTTGGCGATAATCATAAATTGCAGGTTAGTCAGTGGTTAGTCCATATTAATACTACCTTATGCTTCAATATGATTGATAGTTTGTTATGATATAATTTTTCTGGTCATGAAACTTTTTATCAAATTTATGCATGCTCTCAAATTATGTGTGGGAGATACCTTAGTCCATACGGAATGACAAGGTTCTAGGCCGGCCATTGGCATCCAATTTTTGACCGATTCCATTTTTCTAGGCCTAAAAAATTGGTTATTCAAATACTCAATGGTAGATCTATAGATACGTAACGCGATAGCCCTGTGGGCATGTAAATTTAATAGATACTTCAAATCTAGAAAATTTAACACTCTCAAACTTATTAAGTCTCAGGGGATCAAATAACAAATACAGAGTCCTTGTTCCCACTAAAAGTAGCAGAAAAGGGAAACAAGGGCATCACATAAAATGTCTGACATGCGATTTAACTTATCGAATTTGCAAGCTTTTTAGAGTGACCAGTGCATATGGTGATCTGGGGAATCAAACCCCCTCGACTGCTCCATCTCATCATGGTAACGCTCGCTGCTCGACTGAGCCAATCCGAGCCCACCACTAAACTGACTGTTAGAACTCTGAGAAAATGCAGCTAAGCCCATATCCGAACTCATCTCTTGCACGGGGCCACTGCCTTGATTGCCCTTGAAACTCCACGGCCCGCTTGGAAATTGACCAATAGCGGACCCGATAAAATCGTTTGTGCCGAAGCCCGAGGCTTGTGGTTGGGCCCTCGGGCTCCAAGATGTGTTTGACAGAAGAGAGAGAGCACCAGGGTTGGAATTCGAAACCCCATTGAAACATCCCTCTGGAGGTATTTCGGGCCGTGGGTTCGGGCTCTGGAGGAGATTAGGGCGCGTGTTACTCGGCCACGAAAGATCATATTTCTGTGGGATGGCTGATTGATTTCCTAGGACTCGTTCAGAGCTTATGTTCGGCCACGAGTCTCTTCCACTCATGTTTGATGGGTAGCTGCTAAAGTCCATCACGAATCCTCCAGTGTGCCTATGGTTATCTGCCCACAAAGCCATGAGATGAAATATTGTGATTTAGTCATTGCCGTTCAAAGAAGCATGTAACATTTAAAAAAAATCACGTAATCTCGAAAATACAAGGACCGTTTTGTAATCAGGTCGAATGTCAGGGGTAGTGCTCTGAAATTGTGTAAATTGAAGGGTGTGTCTAAGTCTAACCATATGTGGAAAGTGAGCCATAACGTGGAGACATGAGAGGTCCCGAAGGCGGCTTTCTCCTTCGTTCGTTATGCCCTGCGAGCCGCCTCCGGCAACTCCGTTTTCCTTGGTCGAATTCCGGCAGCTGATGAAACCTACACAAGAGGATATAACCGAATTCCAATTGTTACCCAAAAACTATAGAAGCTTATATAACGGAATTAGGCTACGTTCGATGGAATTAGGCTACGTTCGATAAAACTAGCTGATAGCTGATAAGTTATAGACGATGGAATTAGGCTACGTTCGATAAAACTAGCTGATAGCTGATAAGTTATAGACGATAATTTGTCGACAGTACAAGTTCAATGGTCATCTTTAAGAAAAAGGTTAAGTATATCGTGAGGACCACAACCAAAATTAGCAATAGACAAGGAGCAGGAAAAGGCCATAAGCCATTGATCAAATATAACATGAAGGTACAATTACAAAATCTACCCTGAGATCTACCTAATTGCAAAAGCAACTCTAGTTATCTCTCAGACGTAAATGCCATCTTAAACCATTACAAATACACCTCTCGAGGTTTGTATTTAACTAAAACAAGCTCTCAATTCAGTAACTCCGAATGCTAAAATTGGTCTCGTTTGGTAATTAGGCTAAAAATCGGGTCGTTTTCTCAGTCAGATCTTATATTTTGTTCCAAGATTATACAGTCTTTCTCAAGGTCACAAAACTAAACGCAAAATCCAACATCATGAGAATACCTCCAAACAAGAAATCAAGATGAAACACCAACATCACAACAAAAAGCCATATAAAAAAAAAACAATCATTTGACAAAAACACCAAACCATTAATCAAAACATATACATCACAATTCCACATGCAACACCAAGCTACCAAAACATAAAAAACAAACTTGAGAACAAAAGGAAAGCATAAAAAAATCCCAGTGAAGACAAAAGAATATGACACCAAAAAAGATAAGATTGTTCATTTAGAGAGAGAGAGAGAGAGAGAGAGAGAGAGAGACCTGCTGCACTGCTGGCAAAACCTTTGCTCAAGGCCAGCAACAATGACTGTTGGAGACTTGGAGTGGACACCACAGACCTTGTGCCTGCAGTAATAAGCTTTAGCATCACTCAGATCTGCCTGGCACCCCTCCACCTGGCACCGCGGCGGCTGCCCACCCTGCGCCACCGCCATCCGCCCCTTCTTGGCCGGGGACGTCGGCGGAGCCGCCTCCTCCGCCTGCAGCCCCGACCCCGCCCCAGCAAAATAGATTTTCTTGCCGAATTTCAGGCCGTTGATCGAGTCGGCCCCACCACCCCTTGATGAAGCAGAAGAAGATGAACCCTTTTCCATTTTCCCCTGATATCTAAAGCCCATTCACAATTTCACATGCATAGTTGCTCTAAATAAAAAAAAAATGGTAGCAAAAAAAGGAAAGCCGTTAAACCCAAACAAGCAAACACCCATTCCAATTTTCAAGTACAAAAGTAGAAATAAGTGTTCATAGTAACTGAATAAAGATTCGATTTTTATTTCCTTTTTACCCACAAAAGATTGAAAAAGGGGAAAGGAAACACTTTCTAGAGCAGTGTCTGCAGAAAAAATAAAAAGAAGGGCATGTAAAAAAAAGAGAAAAGGAGAAAAGGGGTGGGAGGATTTCAATATGGGCAAATTTGGGGTGCAGCAAGTGAATTTTTAGGTGAGTGTAGACATATTATATGGAACAAAATTCTTGTTTTTGGCAATTCTTGATTTCTTGATATGGGAGTGTGTGAGTGAGTGTGTGTGTGTGGTGGGAGAGTGGTGATGTGAAACAGTAAAAGCAGACACCTGACAAATGGGCCATAATGCCAGCTTGGGGTTTGTGCACAGAGAGAGGGAAAGAGAGTATTTTCCTTTCTCAAGTGGTGTTTTTCAAAAAAGGGACTTGTGTGCAAAATAATGGAGAAACAACAGAGCCAAAGGAAGACAGTGATTTTATTTTTTAGTGTTTTTTATTTTTTGTTGGGAATGCTTTTTGGGAGTTCTCTTAGCAGCTTTTTATAACACTGTCATTAAACTCCAACTGTCATTTTTGTGAAGCCCTTTTTCCTTCTCTCTCTCCCACTGAATTGAAAACTGGCTATGGCTATGTCATTTTTATGGCATACAGCAAAGCTTTTATGTACTTATTTTGCCTTTAATTTAGTTTGATTATTTGGTGTGACAGTTAAATCTGTTGTAATTGCGTTACTGATCTATTAGTTGGGGTAATGTTTGTATATGGAGAAATTGCTCAAGAATATTTATAGACTAATAATGAGACTCACACAATTGGAATTTATTGACTAGTTTATGAAGCTATTTAAAGATATATAATTAAATGTTTCTACTACTATTATTTTATATATTTTAAAACTCTTTAAAGATGAAAATATGTACACAAACTTGACAACAACCTTTTAGATTTATAAGCATTGTTCCTTATGGATAACATATTGAAGCAAAGGCATAACTTGTACCTCATACACAGTGTATGAAGAATCAAAGAACCATTTTATAATAAGTGCAATGAATAAACAACAAATACCATATATACTCTAGTTATAAGTCAATGCAGAGGGTGAATAAATTCCATCTCTGCTAGGTCGTTAATACATTATTTATTAATTTTCCCTGAATACTAATCAATAAAAGTGAGATCCTCCTTAAACCCTTTACAGCTTCAATTAAAACGTTTTGTGAAGGTTCAAATCCTAATTTGTCTTAATCACATCCCCATTTTGTGGAGATAGTTAAATATTGTTGTTCTGAATGTGGAGGTGAAAACTCGTAATGCGAGTTTAAATCAAAGAAGCCCTGTATCTGGTCGAGAAGTCCCTATCGTTAGAAAGACTTAAAAAATATACATATTTCAAAGAGATATTATATATTAAAAATTATAAATAGAAATATAATATTTTACTACATATAAAACATTAAAACTGGGTTGTATCTCGTAAGAATTTGTTGTACCGGATCATAAACCGATCATCATCAAACGTTATTCTTAACTACATTTCCTAAAGTTCGACATTAATTGTTGAAATTTAATTATGTTAGAGCTTCAATTTATTTTCTTTGTATTCCTTTTTCCCATCTATACTTATATAATAAGAATTAACATTTATCCAAAATAGTAGGTCAAATTATGGTCAATGTCGGATTTGCATTAAATATTTTCCAAAACCGATAAGTTTTTGTCATTTTCACACTTCTCATTAATTATGTCATTTTCACACTTCTCATTAATTATGTCCTTTTCACACATCTAATTAATTCATTAATTACGACATAATTATCATAAATCATTCCATCTGAGCTTTTATCGTTAAAATGTATAGCGATCTGTTATGACCTTATCCCATTGATATTTCCATGAAGCGTCCTTATCGCGTTTTATTTTTTGGTAACCACTTTATATCAATAATCGGATATTTGGTTAATGATAGCACACGTCTTTATTTCAAGGAGCGGATATTCTTTGACCTTTAATTAATCTGAACTGATTGTCTTGACTTTTCAATTTTTAAAAACTCTTTTTTTAAATATTTCGGCTTAAGATTCGGATTTCATTATACAAGTCATCGGATTGTTTGAATGAAAATGAATGAAAAGAACACCAAAAACAGGTAGCCTTATTCATATAACCAATTCTAAAATATTAGTTTGTTCACCAAAAAGAGACAACTCCTAGAAATCCTAAAATATTAGTTTGTTCACCAATTCTAAAATATTAGTTTGTTCACCAAAAATATTAGTTTGATTTTTAGGATTTGTCTCTTTTGAAAATATTAGTTTGTGATAATGAGGAGTTACCAAATAATCAAACTCATAATGTTGTGTACAAGGAGGTTTTTAATAATATATGATTGTTACCGAACTTTTTATGATTCAACAATGTTCCTATGTATTTTAATGATTTCACTTTTGATCCTAATGCACGTTAGATTATATTATTCTTCCAAATTTTACATCCCGTGCATCGCACGAGTTACGTACTAGTTACAAATGATGAGGATAAGTGATAAAGCAAACTACTCATTCTTAGCTGTGGTGAACATTTTTGTATTTTGCAATATTGTGAGCACATTAAAAGAAGAGAAAGCAAAATTTTGGCATCTCTTGTTATCTTGACTTTGTGTCTACAAAAATTCAAATAATGACGAAGATTACATTATAATAATGTTAAACACTACTATTTTATTTCAAAAGTATATTCAAATAATACAAAATTTAAAATGATATGTGCATCATAACTATATCCTTTTTATTTGGATACTGTTAACAATTGGGCTAAGTAGTAAGTACAAGAAAAAAATTTTAAGATTACAGGTAGTTGTCTGGTAGATATTGGTACTATGAAATTGAGATCTTTTCGTTATTCATTCTTCATCACCTTTTTTCTTCTATCTTTTTCCACTTTTCACTTTATTATTATTATTTATTTATTTTGTATTTTAACGAAGGTATAAATGCTTCAGTAGGGTATGGCATAAAGACTTGTATCTATACCATTGAATAAGTTCCCAACCAACTTTCTGAATTATTATTAAAAAAATAGAAATAAATCCTTCACTATGATCTATATCACATTTTTCACATTTTTCTATCCAATATATTTTATTTTTATATTTTATGCCTTTTGTTTTTATTAAAGCTTGCAGACAGACAAAATATTCCATTAAGATTACATCATGTGCCAAACACATGAGTCATGACGCATCAACTATTTTGTTTTCCATTTGTCGTTTGCACTTTCCACAATCTTATTTATATTTTTATTAGATCGTGGGAACGATAAATTAAAATTTATCTCTAATTTTAAATTTTAGTAAAATACATATTAAGCAAATAATTAAAATTGCTAAATGAAACGAGCCGTTCGTGAACTCAACTCAATTTATTAAAGCTCGAGATATTTTATTTAAGGCTTAAAAATATAATTTTTTATGTAATTTTTTACAGCTCGACTCGGTCATACTTTGACTCTTTAATATTGATAAACGAGTTGAACTCAAACTTATTTATCGGCTCAATAAAGGTTCAAGTCCGAATTCGAACATCAGAAGCTTATCTGAGTTCGCCTTGTTTAAACCTCTCATTATAGAGATAGCGTATTAACACAAATTGTGCAGCTTTGTGTAAGCTATATTAAAATTTGTTTAATTAATAACAAATTGAGCAGCTGGATTTGATGATACCATACACTTTTACATGATAAAATGCCCGACATGCAAATACCAAATAATTGTTCGTGCCTAACACTATTGGTCTAATTAAGCTAGCAATTATGACCAAAACTATTAGACGTTTGAAACTGTCTTGGAGCTCTTAAGTTTACACAAGAAAACAATTTAGTTCAAACACACGAGAAAAGTATAAGGGTTTTGTATTTAACTATATTAATTTTTTCATTGAATTTTTAGTTGGACTATTCTACAGTTCAATTTTTTGTCAAAATGTGATCATGATTTTACTATTACTAATTAATTTTGAAACGAATTCATTGTTTGGATGCGCTTCATGTATGGATCAAGTTGCTCAATATGTATTTTACATATCACAAATTTTTGTATGAATCGGTCTAAATGTTAAAGGAGTCGATCTGTCAAAGTTTTACACGAAAATACATACTTTTATTATCAAGTTATCATACTTATGTTTGTTATATTTTATAAGTATGACATTTCAATTTGAAATTACGCATAAAAATTGAAAAAGTATGATTATGTGTATGTACACATAACCAAATTTCTAGTAAATCCCCAACTTGTGGGAACCACTTTATCTTCAATAATGTACGTGTATATATGCCTTAATTAATTAACAGGGTTTTAAACACCACAACATAATTTCAAAACCCTACACAAGGAGGACTTTAATTGGATGATACCAAAACTTTAATGTCTCATAAACCATAAAAGTAGGCATAATAGGTTTAGGCTTGCTACAAAAATTTATTAGCCCAATTGGTTTTAATGCTCGACTGCTGCACTCTTTCACCAGGCTACACATCAATATCATATTCATCCAATTTCACACTAAAATAGTGTCCAACAGTCCAAGTATTTTGTTTAACCATATGTTTTCAATAAATATACACACTTTCAAAATAAAATATTATACAATAAAAAACAAAATAAACGATATGACATTTCATAATACAAGTATTCGTTTTTGTTACAAGGAAACACAATTTTTTTCGGACACAATGCATTCAATAATTAATTTGTTCACTAATTCAAGAGTTACCCTACAAAATTACAATACATATTGATTGATACAAAAAAAAAAAAAAAGAAAGCTGTCTTTGTATTAAGACCAAGCAGAGATGGATATATCAATAATTATTAAGGGCCACAAAAGCTTGACCGGTTGGTTGGTCCATGGCTCATTCAATAATTTCTGGCAGTTTGTGCAGAATCACCTGTCAAAAAAAAGGCCAATTGAATCACCAAAACAAACCAAAATGAATAAGGGTCCCCCTTAATTTTGGTCCTCCCCAACTCGTTGTATGTTCAATTTATTGTATCAATAATAACTGTGAGACTTTGCCTTCTCCAACTTCATATCTATAAGCATAGGCTTCTAACGTCGCTTTTGGTGGCTTTTTGTGTAGTTTGGTATTCATCCTTTCCAATGTCCCGTACGAATTGGGCTCGATTTTTTCTAATACGAATTATCGAAAACCAGAGTTATAGGGATCGAGTTGATGTGTTTTTCTAATCTGAATCATTGACAAAGATGATTAACCGAGCTATTGATCAACTGAATTCTTATTAACAAGTCGGGAGCTTAGTTAAATGCCAATCTTATATTATACGACGGGATTACTGTTTGACTACATAATCAATATTTGATCATACATTTTCAATGAGTATGCATGTAAGTCTTCATATTGAAATATTGTTACATATAATGAAAAAGAAAATATAGGTAAAAGAATGTTATTGTATAATATAAATATAAATTTATAGTTTTTGCTCGAAAAATACAAAATATCAACTACTTGGCTTACTTTTAGGTTCAACATATATTATAATGTGGGGTTAAGTTAACATAAAGTTACACATGTAGTGGTGTGTTTTATGAGTTTACTGTTTAGTCATGTCTCTTTCGATAGGAGCCATATTAAGGCAAGCAAAAAATGAAAATAATAATGTGAAAAAAGGTGGAATAGCCATTGAATCAATCTTCAAATTTTGATTTTTCATCATTTAAAAAGATATTTGCCCAATTATGCCCTATTTTATCCATGATTTTTTTTTATTTTCAAAAGAACGATTAGTCAATTACTATACCTAAACATACATAAAAATGATATCATAATATCTAACATAAGATGTAGATCCTAAAAGATCATTATCATTAAGAGTTAAATTATCATGGCTCCTTAATATTTTAAATTTGAATATGGTTTACGAATAAATATAAACAATATAATATCATAATTATAGTTTTAAGACAGTATTTTCTTTCCAACAAAAAATAAAATTTTGACAAAAAATAAAAAATAGAGAATTACATTTGTTGGACAGATTAGCTACGAATCTAAATGGTGGAGGAGAAGATTTTTTCGTACTTATATTTTATTAAAAACCGTATTTTGTAAATACATTTTTTTTATTATTATATTACGAAACCGTATTTCTGAAATACGTGTATATTGATTTAAGGTTTTTAGAAAACGTATTTCAATTATAAGTTTTATTTTAATTTAAATTTTTCTTAATGGTTTATTTACGGTAAAAACCATATTAATGAAATACGTTTTAGAAAAGCTAAATTGATTTAGGGTGTTTATAAAACGTATTTCAGTTATACGTTTTACTCAAATTTAATTATAGTAAATTGAATTAGGGTATAAAATTAATTTAGGTCTTTTGGGTTTCAAATTGATTTGGGGTTTTCAAGAAAGCGTATTTCTTAAATACGGTTTTAAATTAAAATTGGATATACAATTTTCGGTAATATACTTTAAATAATTACACAAATTTAATTTAAACACGTATTCAGGAATACGTTTTACTAAAAAATTATCATTAAGAAAACGTATTTTGTAACTACGTGTTTTTGATTTCGGGCTACCCCATTTTTTTCGTTNCAGCAGAACAGTGGATTAAAGTTTATTTGAATATAATAAAATAAATAATTCAAGCAAAAGGTTGGAATTTCCCTTGTTTTTAATTAGGGATTCCTCGTTTTGATCGAGGTTTCCACATTTTCATAATACAAGTTGATGAATAAATTAGAATAAAGTGAAAATTATACAATTTAGAACTTGTTTTTATACATATACAAATATGTATTTACCTAATTATAACATAAAATTAAATTGAAAACAAAATAGAGAATCTTTATTATACCACAAGACAGTGCTGCGTGCCTAAGCAGGATTTCTGAGTTTGTATACTTTTATTTGGCCAAATATTTGCAGAGGATTTGAAATTGACTTGCTTTGAACTACATTTATTTTGTTTTAATTGTAAGTTGTAACTATACTAGCTTTGACTTCATCTTTTTATTGTTTTATTTCACTATTTATGAAAATTGATTTCTAATTTTTTTATTGATTTTGAAATTATATTATTTTTATTATGTACATCTCGTTTATGAAATGTGTATGATTTTATTTTAAGTTCGTAATTTTTTTTAGAAAAGATAAAACTTATAGTGAACCTGTAAAAGGTAAATTAGAATACGAACATCTCAAACTTATTTAACAACTTTGAAAAGAACAAAAGGAGCTACAAAAATCCACCTCCATTTTCACACTTATTCTTTTGTCTATTTGAACACTAGCCCAAGTTGTTATCATTAGTTTTGGGCTACTCAGCCCAAATGTTTCTACTGGGCGGTCTCTGCTACAGTTTATGAACACCGATCCCATATAGTTGTTTCAAGCTAAGCCCACTTCTTTGTTCTTTCCATTTTATTTTCTTTTCAAGAATTTGGATCCAGAAAAACCAAGCCCAAATTTACTCGGAGCAATTCATAGTAAACTCGTGTGGTCATTATAGTCCCGCTTTCATATAGGAAATTAACATACCATATACTGTGAGCACTCGGCATAGTTATAAAAGATTAATAGAATTTGACACAGTAGACACATCTTAACGTGCTCAGATTGGATAAGCATATAAAACTTCTATTAATTTTTTTTTTAATTAAATTGAAATACCACATGTAAATGAGGTCTAGTGCAAATAGCGGGTTGTGAGTAAGAGAAGTTTTGAATTGAAGCCAATCAAGAAATTACATACACAAATTCCATGAATATAAAAGCTTCACTCTATCCATCAACCATCATAGATCCATAGTAGTCGGTAAGTAACCTTGGTTTACAAAATATGATGAACCCTAACTAAGTGAAAAAAAAAAAACAATCAAATGAAATGCTTCTTGCAAGAAGAGTTGATTTCATGACAAGACAATAACAAAAACTTGGTCTTTAGAGTAAGCCATATATAATTACTTCACCTCAAAAACTTGTATAAGCAAACCNAAACAAGGAAATTACCGAAAGGCCATGTACTCTGAGTACGCTTCTTCTTTATGTATCCAACACCAAAATTTCATTTTTCACTCGATGCCAACCTCAGCTGCACGTCTAGGCTTGTTTTTCCTCCGACTTCCATTTTGTCTATAGCTCACATTTTTTATCAAGGCATTCACATTAGTTGTGGTCCCCAAGCCATTTTCCTCTTTTACGACTAAATCTTCACCTTCCTGTGAAGGCCTTTTCCTCTTCTTGCCATTCTCTATGGTAGCACCATTTCTGCTACTTTTACTCGCATCTGGATTTTTAGCATCCTCACCATTTTCGTATTCTTGTTCGTTTCCATCTAACCTTTCGAACTCATCACCATTCTTGATTTCATCGTTCATTACTTTTTGTGGCCTCCCCCTTCTCTTCATGGGTACTTTCTCATCTTCAAAGCTTGAACTATCTTCACGAGCAATAGGGGATTGTTTTTTCATTTTTCCTCTACATCTACCCATTTCTAAATCCCCGATCAAGCAAAAAAAATAATAACAATTACTCTGCATACGGAAACATAAAGAAGTCTTTTAGAGAATAGAGAATACCCATTTTAAGGTCAATCTTGGATTTTCAAAATGAAAAGACGAAAATAATCCAACCAACAAATTGAAATTATACCAAGAACTCAAAATCTAATATTAAATAGTTCTGATCAATTATCATTAGATGAAGAATATAGTGAAACCCACCAACCCTTCTAAACAGATGGAGTAGAGATTTAGCATACACCCAAAAGAAATGACTTACTGCTATACACTACTGCAAATACACAAAATAAGGATCTTTTCATTGCAAACAAAATAATGAGCAAAATTAAAGCACATCAATTTAAGGTGTAACATAAACAAGAACCACTAAAAAAGCTACTTCATAAAAAACTAAAGCAGAGCATAAAGTGGCCTAAAGAAATCAAACAAAAAAGAATTCAAAAATTACAACAAAAAGGAATAAAACTATAGCAAAAGAAAGCGAGTTACGCACCAGATGGAGCTGACTTGGTAAGAAACAAAACCCATTCGCATCCTAAATCAAAGCAACCATTTCGCAAGAAATCTATAAAAACAACTTGTAATAAGATCAGTATTCAAAACCCACTTGAATAGTTTCAATATCAATCAAATAAACATAAAAATGAGAAGTATTAGTATACTGTGAGCGAGTGAAGGCTAAAAACAATTGATCTAATACGATGAGAGAAAATGGCGACTCCGGTTACATAAGCATTAGAAAGTGAATTGTTGGTGCAAAAAACGAACTCAGATTTAAAAAAATTGAATCTTTTTTCTCCATTTTCAAGCGAGTGGAGGCAAAGGCTTGCTGGAGAGAAGGGACGGTGAAAATAGTTGCAAATTGTTAAATGGGAAATAGAGAAAGGATGTTAAAAAATAAAAAATAAAAAAATAAACCAAAAAAAAAAATAGAGAAAGGATGTTAATATATTTTTTATGAGCTGTTTTCTGTTTGGGAAATTAGGGTACAGTATAAAAGAAGGCAGAACTGTTAATTATTAATAATTATGTTTAATTAGTGATTGTAAGAAACAATCAAGCAAAGCAAACAAATATACCTCATTATCTTTTAAGTTATGTGCATTATGATGTTATAGAAGTATCTTTGCTAGTAGTTAAGCTCATTTTAGTTGTTTGAACGTGTTATTAAGTTGTGTGGTATGATTTTAATGAAAATGCTAAACTACCTTTCGTTGACACATTAAACTACAAGCTGTGTGTAATGATTTTAACGAAAACGCTAAGCTACCTTTTGATCATTAAACACTATACATGTATGAGCAGGAAAATTGGACTTATAAATTTAGTTATTCTGACTCATAATAATGATTATGGAATATGGAGTATTCATTTATCAGGAATTTTTTTATGTAGTTGTGCAAAATGAGAAATAACACCATTAAGCAAAATGAGAAGATTTGAGTAAAAAAAATGCTCTAAAAATTAAAAAAATGAATAACAATCAACGCGTATACATCTTCTGTAGCTGGTGATAGAGATGAATCTCGTTATGACTTATGATCAGCACAGCTAACAGTCATATGAATAGCGTTTTATTTAATATTTTCTTTTTTTCGGATTGAAAAAGAATTTGAAATATATAGAGGTCGGGACCACACGTTAAGCAGCTGCCTGCGGCTGCGCCTCCACAAGATATGATTTGGACCTTGTCAAAAAGGCTTAATTCAAAATATCCACTGGGCCATATGCTGTCCTTTAGTTGTTGGGCTCTCGGGTCCTCAAAACCATGGACATAGAATCAATCTTGAATAACGACGTGTATCAACACTCCACACGGCCCATTTAATTAATAATAATTTAAACACAGACTTTGCTGCTTTGCAGAAACACTCACTCTAATGTACCTGAGAGGTTGAATGAAGTGAACATACACAAAAGAAGATGAGTCTTGATTCACTTGCATAATATTTCCTTCTTCATATTTTCCCAATATTCATTTCCTCTAGGATGACTATTTACATAAGTCCTCACAAATATTTCCTCCGTGCACGCCAAGATGGTGCCCAGAGCCAGATTCGGATAAACGGACCCTTCTTCTTTGAGCCATTCATAAGTCAAAAGCCTGAGCTTGACCCTCTCCATCGTGTACGAAAGGGTTGCCGGATGAGTAACCAAATCAGACAAAGGACAGCCCATATCCCTCACGACAAACCCAATTTTCGTCATAATTACATCCTTGGACTGGTTCAGAATCTGTGGGGCCACTTTTAGCATGGCTATGACTTCCTCTCGACTCAAGCCCGTGCTCACCAAACAATCAAATCTCTCTTGGAGTTCAGTTGCCTTCCCACGGAAGGCTTTAAGGGCCCGTTCCATTTCTTTCGAATTCTCAACAAAGCCCAAACTCGAAAGGAACTGAATTTTCATGCTTCTCACTTTTAGTACCCTGCTTGGGCCTCTTACTGGGTCGGTCCACAACCGAAGAAGCCATTTTTTCAATACGTGAGGATCTTCCTTCACCATTTGACACAGTTTCTTCACTCCACAGTTCAATATGCAGAGCAAGCTGCTGACCTGTTTGACTTCGCACGAGCCGAGAAGCACCGGGTGAGAACGGAAAATGCCACCGATATCTTGGGCCGACATTTTTATCTCTGCCAGGAATTTATAGCACCTGTGCAAATTACTGGAGAATCTTCTAACCGAGACAGACGGGAACTGAAGAAAAACTAACTGCAGGTCGCTCTTAGTGAGCCCGAATTTTAACAAAAACCCAATAAAGCGAAAAGTAGTGCACCCGGACAACTCGAGTAAAATTTCCGGTTTACGTCTAATTATGCCTCCTAATTCATCCGCATTCAACCCCAATTCCATCAAGAAATGCACAAGCTCAAGCATACATGTCCAATCACAAGAATACACTCCCGATATATGCTCCTCCAGCCACCTGTAGTCAATCCCTAAAACCTTTATTAATGTCTCCAAAAGCTGGATAAAATCACGATCGAGACCTCCTCTCAAGAGATAAGGGCTCGAGGCAATTATCTTGATGACAAGAGATTGTTTCAACCCCAAGTCCTGAAAAGCTAGAAGCTTTGGCTGCAAAACACCGTAATTATATTTAAAAACATCCCTAGCCTCCTTATAAATTTTTCCTATCATATTCCTAGGAACACCATAATCACACAAACAGTAATAGTTATCCAGTAACAACCCATCATCATTCAAAAAAATCGAATCCCGCGGCAAAAACGGCTCGTAATCAGAGTAACTTAAACCTATGCTCTCAAAGAACGGCTCGAACTCGTTAATAGGGTGGTACCTTAAGAACCGAGCCAACGATCTGCCCACGTCATCGCCATCCTCCACGTTTGCGCTGTTCAATAGCCGGTCCATAAACTCCGGGCTGTTTTTACTCATGTTCTCGGCATCCATGAACCGGAGGCTCCGGGTCGAATACAGGTAATCCAACAGAGCATTTTGAGCCTGTTTTCTCACTCCATTAGTTCGCTTCGCAAGCTTGCAAGTACCGCCGCCATTTTTCGAACACGCAGCCGTTTCTGTTGCGAGTAACCTAAAGAATTGGAGAATTTGGTACGGCCCGCTCGGACAAAGATCGTGCTTTGATGATCTGAAGTTGTTTGCGGCACGCGCCGAGGAAATAACTTGGGAAAAGTGAAGTTTCCTGAGTTTCTGCAAACTGGTCATGAGATGCCAGCGTATGCAGAAATAGATGGAGAAAAAAAAAATGGTACTCGATTGTTAAATGTGTTTATCTTCTTGAGATGAAATGATGTAGGGTTTTAGCTGATTGAAAATGTGAGATTTAAGGGGTTTTCTTTTCTCTTCATCTGGGCGAAGAGAGGAAATTTTGGTGGGGGCAATTCTGGAAACAACATTTGGGGGTTCATATAAAAGTTGAATCCATAGACAAGAAGGGCAAAAGAGGACGAAGATTCATATTATTAAGCCAACGCTTGTGGCCGGTGGGTTCCGTTCAACACTTCAACTATATTGATATGAACTATTATCTTATATCAACTCACACACGCTCATGAAGAGCCATATAAAGCCCAAATGAAATTTCATCCCAATGGGAAGCCCATATGAAGTTTAAGTAAGGTTCCATCTCAATGGGAAAGACCACATGAAGCTTAAGTGAGGTTCCTTCCAAAATCAATTGGTGGAAGGAGGAGTAACCCACTAGACCTATAAGCTAGGCTTATTTTCCATGTATATGAAGCTCAAGTGAAGTTTCATCCCAAAACCAATTGGTGGAAATTTGAGTAACCCACTAGACTTATAAGCTAGGCACTAGACTTATAAGCTAAGCCTATGTTCCATGTATAAACCATGTGGGACAACTCACAAGTGATATTCTAACAGTTGGTAACCAGTCGAGTTCAATAAACTCTGACAATCAATTATCATCTTTAAGTTAGAATTAATTAGGATTGGTATTGGTTCGGTTACCGAATCGATAAGGTCAAACCGATATCCAATCGATTATTTCGGTAACTACAAATATGAAACCGTCACCGAACCGATTGTAATCGGAAACCGAAAATTCGGTTACCGATAACTAGGTTCGGTAACGATTTCTTACCGAAATAACCGAAATTTATCAATAATAATGCAACTTGGATTATTATTAATGCGTGAGAGGGCCGATTTTTTATTTTTTTTTTTAGTTAATGGGCGAGAGTTTGAGAGGGCTGACTAGTTGGATAGATGGATTATTAGTACTAAGTTATTACTTATTAGTTATTAATATTAAGTTATTAACCATTAACATTAAGTATTTTTTTTACTTCCTTATCGGTTCGATTCGATAAAACCGAACCTTATTGTTTCAGAATCGATACCGAACTGATAACATATCGGTAACTGATAATCGATTACCGTTTTAAATGAGTCGGTACGATTTAGTTTTTTCTTCTTGTCGGTTCGGTTCAATTTAGTTTTCGGTCAAAAAATGTACATCCTATAATTAATCCAATACGAAGAGTAGCAAAAATTGCCATCGAAATTATATTAATTATATTTATTTACCCTGTTTGGAGGAGTATATGTTTTGAAAGTAACAACTTGACCATTCATTTGATATATAGATTGACTATTGAAAGGCTGAAGCTATTTTTTTTCTTTTTTTAAAATGTGTTGGTTAACAAATGCTTGTAAATAATGAAGGCAGATAACGTAATCCTGTATTTGAAGGGAAAAAGATGATGAAGAAGAAGAAATGAACCCTCATTTAATCGCCATTGTGTAGACAATTTTCCAATCCTCGGACAGTCAAACGCATATGCAACCGAGAAACTAAAAGGAAACTTAGTGCCATATTCATCAACTCACAGGATTATAAATGAGCTCAAAAAGTCACAAGTCAGAAAGAGTTCTTCACTACAAGATATCCCCATCGCCGGTTAACTTGAACACGGAGCACATATTCAACAAACATATTCCAGAGTTGAGTGAGGTTAGCCGACCCTTGGTTTGTTGTTATCAGCAAGCTTCACCATTATATTTCTTCCCTGTTTGAAAACAAACATATACGGTCGTGATGCAACACGTTTATACTTTTCCTTTATACACAAAATTTATCTCAAGATATCACGTAACTTTTAATGAAGAAGTGATAAGCAGCCTATTCAGGTTCGAGAAGTTTTAGCAAATAAACATGTTGCGGGTGCAAGTTGTGAAATCAAAACACAGATTCAAGGGATATATCATATATCTACTTCAAGAAGAAGCAGATCACTTCTCGGAATTTGACTAAGCCTCGGCTGTAGTCTTGGTTATAGAATCATTCTTTATACCAATGGAAGATGAAAAATCAAATTTCCTCACTCCAAGCATCTTTTGCGGGTCATCAATTGCTTTTTTGCAGCCACGACAGTCCTCTAAGTGACGAATCCGAAGCCACTTCAAAGCAAACAAAACTCATCAGATCTGTCAGAATTCTGGATTTAATTAAAGAAAAAAGAACAAGAAAACGGGGTCCATGTCGTCTAAAATACTCAAGCAACATCTCGCTGGTTGTCTCAGGTGACAGACCTCCAATGGTTAGCTTTCTTTGCACTTAATCTGATGTAATGCTAGTGTTGCTTCACCCTTCATTGCAAGATTACAGACAGCCATACGGCCCTAAAGCAAAAAAACTATATAGGAGAATCATATGACTTCAGTTCGCATTTTTTTTTTTTTTTCTTGAACTTTTTGGTGCTTAAACAAACCAGAATACTTACATCAATCATCTTGCTAGGCGCCCTTAAAGCTAGCTGAGCTGACTTCATATCTTTATAGGTAATGAACCCATAACCATGTGACTTTGCCGTTACCTTGTCATAAATTACTGCACCCTCCTCAATTTCACCATGCTCTAGAAATGCCAGCATCCACCCATCAAAGATAATACATGTTCGACACAAGCACCCTACCAATTACTAAGGATGACACGAGACCACAAAACTAGGAAACTAATAGAGCAGCTGGAAGCTTTTCATCTATCATTAGTGATTCACCAACATAACACAAAAATACATTTCACAAGGTTTCTGAAGTGGTATTCCAAGCTAAACCACGAACAAAAGCTTTCAAAGGGCAGGGTCAGTACTCGCAACACTTTTAATTTGTTGGGCAATAGAAGGATATTGGGACCTGCTTCTCGCCAAAACATGCAAACAAGCACACACACATAAATGTCCATCACAAAGCACAGCAGAACGAAAATTCCTCTCAAGAAGCATCCACTTCACCCACCAAACCATTATGATTCAACACTTTCTATTTGTAAAAATAAAGAGGAGAAAGATTAAACCATCAGACATCAGTAATGTGAAAGATGTGTAGTACCATTAAACAGACTCTAAAGTCCCATTAAAAAGCTTCTAATATGATAACTGACTTCTAAAAGCATGCAAACTTGTGTTGTTGAAGTTACTGGTTCAATTTCTTAGCTACAATATATAATCCTTATTAATACTAGAAGCTCAGGACTCAGGAGACTCCCTCATTATTAGAACAACAATAAGGCTTCGGCCAAACAATTAGGCAGTAATATATATTCAACAGCTACCCATACTTTCAAACTGAATTGTCATACTTTAGAAAACAAAATAAGCAAAGACATTTCACAACATGAGTATGCATTTTTATTGAACAAGTATAATAGGTCAACCCGCTTAATGGTTAGGCCGCCTCATATAATAATTTGTATAACAATAAACAAATGAACCGAAGTGCTCATTGGTCTTGAACATCCCGTGAATGCGTCCACACAAAGTCCACTGGTGCAGATGACTCCAGTTCGGAGGTAGAGCTTTCTTCTATGGTTTTCGGTTCAGACTAGAGTAGAATGGCACACATGCAAAAGCGCCGGAGTTTCTCCGACGCAAAACCAGAAACTTAAGTTAGAATCGGGAGATGGAAGAAGATGAACAGTGGTAGTGAAATTACTGATAATTAATGTCTCTTACCTTCCACAGGTAACGCGTCACTATATTTATAAGCGTTTATCTATCGCACGGACACCCTAAGATCAATCTCTAGAGTGTTGATTGTTACTTATGTCGCAAGTTGACATGTGCGTTCGGGATATCATATGAGCATGGTCCGATCTTAGTCGGTTCGGTCTAGAAGGATCGATCAAACTGTAACACCCCGCCTACTATTACCAGAAATTAGAGTAATTTTTCGTGCTTTATAATAAATTTGAAAAAACTGATTTAATTTTCAAAAACTCATACTAACTTTTTCGAAAAATACTTTTCTAACTGCGGGATGCTACTCAACTAATCTGAATTCTCATCTCTTTTCTTTTCAGCTATTACGCATGCAACCAAGTAAAATTCATTACTCTATTATGCACATTGAAAATTTACTGGAATTAGGCATGCATAAACTGAAGTCTGAATTTCTGTTCTGAATGCAGAAGCAAATATAAGTTCAAACAACACAAGCAAACAACAAATAAAAAATAAGTAATCCAAACATGCTCAAATACTACATGACATTCAAAAATATCCTCGCTTATGACCACCACCACATCCAGCTCACGCACCACGCGGGACTTCGTTACCTGAAAAATGAAAAATGGTTAGTGGAGGGCGTGAGAATAATGAATCGACGTGATCCGCTGGTACCGGCACTGAATACACATTCAATGTAATAACATATCATGACATCAGTATATATGCAAGTACCTGCTGGATTGGCAGAAACGATACGATGATAAATATTTTACTAACGGATCGCGAATTAAGCATACATCTAATATGATCTGACATCACCATACGCATATAAATAAGTAAACTATCTATAACTAGTCTATAACTGCTGCTCGACTGACTGTCTATAATTGCTACTCGACTCACGAGCCTTCGCGCTTGTGATAACTAACTGTAGGACCTAATCTGTAGGTCATTGCTCATTCTTAGGCAAAATTATCTCTTATGCACATCTAAAGTTGGAGCTTAATTTAGAGCTTGCGTTCGGTTCACTTAGCTAGAAAGGCCCTACTCGTTAGGTTATTGGCAAACTAACTCTTACATACATACCTCAGCCAGGATAATGCGATTATAGAAAATGTAGCGCCTAGTATTAAAAAGCAGACAGTTGGGTCTCTCGCATTCATCAATATCTAGAACAAAGGGGCTGACAGCTAAAGGTTATGACTTCACGA